CATCCTCTGCCTATGCCTCTGTCGCCTCGTCTACCTCTCCCGCCTCCTTGACCGCCCGGTTTGCGTCCTCGGTCATCGATCTCACCCGTCCTGGCGCGATGTCTACGGTACATAAGTGTCCATGTTGCCACCACAATCATATCATCCAATACACGTCTGTGGTCAAACCCCTCAGGGAAGATACTGGCGGCAATGCATGCCCGCCCCATCTCCACTATCTGACGACAGCGAGGCAGGAGATTCTGAGTGTGGTCCAACTGAGACTGATGTTTATTTAAGATCTCCTGATAAGTTGGTCTGGGCAGTGATCCTTCGACAGTGGGTACCATGTAGGGGTGTGAGACAGTGAAGAACCACATGATGTAGCCATCAACGCAACTCCATTCTCTCGGCGCTCTGGTCACCGAGTCTCGTCAGGTACTATGTGCCTCTGGTAGTCGGTATAGATCTCTTCTATCTGCATACGGGTTAAGCCAAGATGAGTGGAGACAGCTGGGTGTTTGGGAATGATCTGAGTGTGGTTGAACTGCCGTATGACGCGCTTGAGAAAATATGAAGCAGTGATGGTCGAACTGCATGTCAACCATCCTGAGAATATGGAGATGTCGTCAAACGGGCGCTTCACATGATGATCAACATATACGTCCTACCGGTTGTCCTCAGCAGCCAGGTAGTTGAGATAGACTCTGTAAAGGTTGACCGCCTGGTTCCCCTTGAATAGGAGAAAGGCACGGGCACGCGACATCTGTTTTGTGTAATCAACAGGCTCACTCTCCAACCCGACGATCATGGAAAAGTGCTGGAATATCCAACCCTGAAATGAAAATAAAAAACATCATGATCAAGCATTATTTCGAACATAGAATGAAAAGAAATGAAAAAAAGTCGAAGGATATAAGATTGTTACCACAAGTAGTGCCACGCTCCCTACCACAGTCTTGGTCTTCCACATGCATCCCTCTCCTAGCCTCGAATACGTGTAAGCCAGAGTAGCCTCCCCCAGTTGTACTCATGAATCCGTGTGGAATCCAAAAAGTACCTCAGGTAAGCGACATTTGTATATGTGAAGGAAGTGTCCACAAACAGCTGAGTGCCGACTAAAAATAGAAAATAACATCTCAGGACACGCTGCTTGTGTATCTCAACCTCAGCTGGATTACCATCTGCCTAGTGTGCAGCAACGAGCGCCTCACCAAATCTACGGGTGAGAAAGGAGAACCTGACATGAGCCCCTCTGGTCTTATCCACCTCCTCTAATGCATCAAGTGAATCATCCCCAAGCTCCTTGACCAACACCTCTCTCGCATCCTCCTTCGTCATCCTACTGTGACAGGGGAGGGTACTCCTGATCGATATATGTAGTAGACAGGAGATGTCGTTCAGTATGATCGTGAGCTCATCGTGCGGTAGATTGAAGGAGGACGTCTCAGGGTTCCATCTCTCTACAAAGTCCATCAGCATCCCGTTGTGGATCACGCTGTAACCAATCTCACAAAGGTCCTTCAAACCATAGGCGGCAAGGACATCCTGGAACCAAGCCTTATGTGGCTGCTTCAAAGATAATATTTTTTGCTCGTGGTTATAGAAATTCTGTGGATGACGAGTCTAAAAATTTTCATAAATAAGAAACAATGTTAATAAGAAACAATGGTACAAATTATAAATTTTCAATGAAAAAAAGAAGAAACTATCTGAGTAACGTTACTTCTTTATCCCAGACATGTCTGACAGTATGGTCAGTGTACCTTGTCAGCAGGGACATATCTGAGGGACCCCCTAGGAAACCCTCAGGCTCATCATTGTCGTCGTCACCAGCATCCTCCGGTAGTGGGTCATCATCCTCTAGAGATGACACCAAATCATCGGTGGGAAGAGAACTAGGAGTATCCCGACGAGGCTTGGGGGAGGACGAGACCTGTGATGACCCCTCAGTTGAATCCCGACGTCTACGGGATGAAGAAGTAGATTATGAGGTGGGGTACGAGGTCGAGGGAATGCTCTAGGCATGTGCTGAAGAAAGATGTGTCTCAACTATATCGGCCTCGGTAACAGTGGCCTGTCTCCGCTCGCGTCTCACAGATGCATGCTGTGAAACACGTCCAAGTCGCAATCTATCTTCTCTGTCTTCCATAATGTCTGCAAGGTATAACCAATAAAAAAACAATTAGATACAAATAAATTAAAAAAGAAAAAAAGAAGAAAAAAAAAAAGAAACATTTTTTTACTTCCGGATGTAAACATACGGAAAACTTATGTATATGTATCTAGAGAAGAACTCAGAGTTCAGAAAGTTTGATTTGTTCCGGAGCTGCATCTACGGAGTTTCCCTAACGTTAATTTGTTATGTAGATGTGGCTTCGGAACTTTCTGCAATTCTAACAGCCACGACAATGGCGTCCCATACCCATGAAAATTGATATTTTGAAGCCCTGATCGTCCGTTTCAGCCAACAAACAATACCTGCATTGTCTCTAAACTATTTTTCTAAAACTATCTAACGATTTTTACCCCTAAAACTATATTATAACTCGTTTACGGGAAATACTCGAAAATACCTCGAAAACTCGAAAATTTACCGATTATATTGAGCTTTGAATGATTTGAGTGTCTTGATCGTTGAGATGAATGCTCCTTGTCGAACATGATTGAAAACAATTAGGTTTAGTGGAAAAACTGTTTTTGAGGATTGAGAAAGTTTGGAGAGTTTGAGAGTGAAGAAGTTGAAAAATGAAGAATGAGGGAGGAGAAGGGACTCTGACGCGAATGTATTTTGATTTGTTCCGGAGCTATATAAAACATCTCGTAGATGTAGCTCCGAAAAAAACCAACGTTAAGTAAAAAAAATATGCGTCGAGAGTACATCTTCGAAAATAAAAAATATTTTTAAAAGTATACATAGTGCCTAAAAACCTAAAGAAAAGAGTAAGAAATTCTCTTTAAATATTTATAGTAATTTATGTACTTTCCGTTAGATTAGGGTTTAGAGTACAATTTTTATTATAGATCCAACCTTACAAACTAATTTTATTAATTCATAAAAACATTGCAACATAATTTTTGTTAACATTTTTTTTCTTCGAGAATACTCATAACACTCAATACATGAATATTACAAAATTCTACGTATATCTAATTTACAACAACAAAATAACCAAAATTACAATAAAATAATGTTAATATAACAAGATAAATAATCAAATGTTGACATATATTTGAAATCTTTAAAAGAAAAATGACAAGGTAAATAATCATATAATATTACAACCACTCTTTTAATTCATTTTGAAAACATTTTAGAATTTCTTAAATTTATAAATAGAAAATGAATCAACCTCACATTTTCCTTTAAAATCCAACTCAGTCATATCTCTAAGGAAACTCATACTAGGCATATTGATCATTGCATGCTCATTCTTAAAACCAATGAAATCAAGTTTTCTTATGCACAATGCATTCGTATAGCTTTTTTTAACCTATATGAAGCTCGTTTTGTACCTCTTCATAACAAAACAATAACAAACAAGAGTACGAGGTTGATTGTAAAGATATTTTTCTACTATGTGTTTGGCTTTTTGTTAGTTTTCAAATAGTTTGAAATAGAAAAAATGTTAGACTTATAAAAGAAATAATTCATATTTTTAATATTTTAAAGTTTTAAATGAATATGTTGTGTTGATACTTTTTAATAAAATACAGATACGATATGAGTATCGAATATGATACGTTCTGATACAGCAATACATCATTGATTAAAAAATATTAAATACGATAAGTTTAACTTACATATATAAAAATTATAATTAAATATTTAGTTAAATCATAGTTTAACAAAACAAAATTTATAACATTATCATGCTGAAAAATATTTAATTAGTATCAATGTCGTCTCTTCACCATCATAAGTAAATAGATAGACTTTCAAATTTAATTTATAAGGTAGAGAGTAGAGAGAAAATGAAAGAAATGTGACAAGCCAATTATTATTCCGAATAAAAATATTTATTATAAATAATATTAATGAGTAATAGTTTATATGAATGAAAAATTAAATATTAGCAAATGATAAGAAGTTTGGAAAATCAAACCAATTTTTAAAAATAGTAAGTATATGAAAAATTAATAAATTAATTAGAATAGTAAAGAGGATGACTATAAATGAAGGAATATTTAAAAAAGGGAATAAATAGTCATTAAAAAAAATCTAATAAAATAAAATAAAATCACATTCGTGGAGTATAAGAGAGAATAAATGGTCATTGAAAGGAAAATCTAATAAAATAAAATCACATATCTCTAGAGTATATGAGACATGAGACATATTGTTGTTGTATCGAAATTTTTTAATTTAGTTTTTAAAATAAATAAATTCAAATATTCCTTTGATACATATCAGCGCCGTATTAAAATGTATCGAGAACAATTCTACAGAATTTTTGAAGTATCGGTGCTTCATTGATATCTCCTAAAAACATGAACATTTGGTCCAATAACACTTTCAACGCTTTCCAGACTTCCCAACAAGTGGTATCAGAACCTAATTAGGCTCGGTGGGAGAGCAGAAGTGAATCCTAATGTATATCAAGGCTAGTGATGTGAATGACTCACACTTGTGAAAGATATTGTTGGATTTCAAATATAGTAAAGTCCCACTGCGACTGAAAATGAAAAAAATATTGGGTTTATAAGAGAAATGACTGAAACCCTAATTTTAAGTGAATAGATGATATCAAGATCTCATTCTTAAAAACATGAACATTTAACTCATAGGCACTTCCGGCGCTCCCCAACATCTTAAATGTTGAAACTATAGTAAAACAAACAGGCCTTAAAAGTGTGCAAATGTTCAATATAATCATATTCTAGTTCTTACAATAAGCCATCACACAATGGAACCCTCTTTTGTGTATTAATAAACAAAGTAACATGATCAATAAATACGTTCAAAATAGAATCAAGAGTTTCACTCAGAAAGATGCAATCATGTGTGAGATAACCGGGGGCTAGCCGCTTTTTTTAATCTCGAACAAATATTTGAGTTCCATATGACACCTTTTATCGTCATCTTCAAACTGTAAAACATCAACCATAGAGTATCATTATATATACTCAAGTCATGAACAACACATCCAATTGGAAATGCGTCTTTAGATTCTCATACCTTAAGTTTTGCCGAGTAAACGCCTCTTGCAAGTGCACCGGAGGGAGTGGTGTCTTCCTTCAACGCATATACATATGGCTCCTTTTGCGGAGCAAACGTACCCAACATTCCTTTGCTCTGATCAACTGAAAAAGCTCGACAGTACAATCGAATTATAAGTTTAATACATCAAATACATAAACTCGCATGGTTGGGAGAAAATATCAATAATGTCTTCAAACTTACACACAAACAACATAAGAAAATCAACTTGATTTACATATTTAAAGCCATAAGCTCATCCGATTATTCAATCAGCTAACCCTAGAGTTTGACAATCATGATCACATAAAATTGTCAATAACTTTACCAAACTGAAGGATAATTATGATTAACTTTTAAACCCTAATCACTTTTAGGATACATCACAAAAAATCAACCGTGAGACCAAAACAAAACTAAATGTGTACCTTGAAACCCTCCTTTCCAGACAGTGTTGGAGTAAGTCAAGCCAGAAACAAGGTTGTGCATAACACTAAATTGTAGCTTAAGCTGATAGCGAGAGCCTTCCCTTAGCGTGAATAGCGTGCGACCGTTCTGATTTTCTTCCACCGGTAAAGGAGTAACAATTTCACCAAAATCCTCAGAGAGAATTCCAATGGAGTGAAATTTCACTTCAGGATCCAATTGACCTATCAAAGGAATAATCACAAGTGTCAGGGCAGGTATCCGACACGACGGAGAAGCCTTTTTCACGGTGCTACATAGGCACAAACAAATAGACAAACAAACAAACCATCTAAATCACTTTCCAAGCAACCCAACAGCTTCTCCTTCCACCTCCTTAAGCTTTCATCCTCCTATAAACCACAATCAACCTCAGATTCATAAAAACTAATCACTATTTTGATACATTAAAAAAAGAAAGAAAAATTGCAGAATCAAGAACCTTGTCCTTTTCGATCTGTTCCTTGAGAGAAAGAAGAGGACCGGGAACAAAGGGACCGTTTTTGATATGATCAATGAGTTCTTCTTCGTCTTCTTCATCTTCACTAGCATTGTGAGAGGGTTTTTCAGCGATTTGTTGTTTGGTTTTGTCGATGAGAGAAGATGGACCTGCTTGTTGTTGTTGTTCGCTGTCCATCGCTTGTGTGTATGGGTTTGGGAGGGTTTTGGAACAGTATGAAAAAAAGAGAAACAGACAGTGTTTTGTGTAGTGCTAAATTCAAATTCACATTTTACTTTTGTTTTGTCTTTAAGGTTTTGGTTGGGACTGTTGTTTGACTGGGACCCTTTCGGTGCTTTGTCTTTTTCCTACACCTATTACGGAATACTTTTACTTTAAAACTAATTACACTTTCCAATCTCTTTTATTTCAAATTTAAATAATTTAAATTTTTTTCTCACACTTTTCCATTTCAATTTCATAAAGTCTTTCATTTTCAAATAAAATGTCACAAATTATCATTATATAAAATTTTGTTAAATAAAATACCTCATGAGATTAAACGGTTTATCTTAAATCTCTTATTTTGATTGGGTGATTCTTCTACAAAAAATTTAGTGTGTTCTTGAGATCATATTATCTTCTTTTATAGAGTGTTATATTCTTTGTGTACATTGACCTCTTAGCCTTAATTTAGAATTTCTGAGGGGTTGGATTAAATCGAGTCTCCTTTACATAGGTAGAGTTCTATATGTTGACTAAGTGAACTCAAACACAAGAAATTGGATTATTTGTGATATTTAAAAATTGAAAACTATTCCTAAAAACTTTGATTTTAAAAGTGTTTATGTTAGTATAAAAAACCAAATGAATAACAATAAAAAATGGAAAAAGGAGATAAACACGGCGAAAATAAAATAAAAGAGTAAAAGTAAAGAAGATAAGGGATATAAATATTGCACCACATATTTATTTATCTTGATTCGACCTAAACCACTTAGCCTACTCTAATCTCCCAAAAGTTTTTGCTTGATATTTCCACTAAAATCAACTTTAAGCTCTTACAAGATCAGCCCAAACAAACTTCAACTACAAATTGAACTTTTACACAAGATTAGCGCAAACAACCTTCCACTACAAATTAAACTTTTGCAAATCATAAACTCGCAAATCTTGTAACAACTAGAACTTTTACATGGGCTTAACTCAAGAACATTCACCTAAGATTTTTTTCAAGTTTAACTTGTAAACTTCAATCTTTTACAAATATATTACACAAGATAATCACCCTCTTGAATAAAACAAATTTTAACACATCACTAGTAGAACTCAACTCTTAGAAAGAACTTTTCACTCTTTTGACATAAGGCAACTCTAGTGAAAAAAGATTTTTATAAGAAAAAAGAGAGTAGAAAGAATAGTAGGAAGTTTCTATTATGAAAACTGATGCTATAAGAAATCAGGAAAAATCTATTTTATATAGGAGAAAATATGACTCGAAAAGGAATCGATCTATGAATCTTTTCAATGATTTAATCTATTATCTCTAGGTGATAATTAACTAACAATTCAAATTAGGAAAGTTTGAGTTTTAACGTCACATAATCGATTAGCAAGTTATTTAACCGATTAAGAGGTGTTAAAAATAAATTTAATTGATTAGACAAAACACTAAATCGATTAACTAGTGTAAAATATCTTACTAATTGATTAACCAAACTTCTAATCAATTAAGTGTGCGCTCAGAATAGTTTTAAGAGTTTTTATCAAAAGAGAAAATAGGTTTGAAAAGCATTTTGTGTGTGTGCGCATTGCCTTAGTACCTCAAGATGTACTCTTATTCTTTTTATAATAAATGATTAAGATTAGGAAAAACCCTAAACGCGAGACCAGGTGAACTTTCACACTTTCGCACATTCAATCCTTTAAGCTTCAAGTCTTCAAGTCCCTTTCTTGGTTCAACATTGCTCATCACTCTCAACTAGAACTTGATATCTTCGATTGATGTGGTATCTTTTTTGGATGGCATCATTAGAAACCACTAATTAGTTGTGATTAACTCCCTATTTTAGAGTTGTCACCAAGAACTTCTTGACTCTTTAACACCCAATGTCCTTTCACTTATGAATTTATCATATTTTAAATCGTACGACAATTGTCATCATCAAAACCAAATTAGGGTTATACATGCACAATATATATATATATATATATATATATATATATATATATATATATATATATATATATATATATATATATATATATATATATATATATATATATATATATATATATATATATATATATATATATATATATATATATATATATATATATATATATATATATATATATATATATATATATATATATATATATATATATATATATATATATATATATATATATATATATATATATATATATATATATATATATATATATATATATATATATATATATATATATATATATATATATATATATATATATATATATATATATATATATATATCCACCCCCGCTTTTTTATGATGACAATGTTGTTGGATATGTGACTTCATACACAAGAAAGGGGGTGAATTGTGAAAGTTTTAAAAACTTCGATTGAAAATAAAATCATAGTTTAAAAACATTTTGTAAAAAAAAATTAACAAATAGGCACCGAAAAACCAAAGGAAAAAAAATAACTGAAGAATATAAGAGATAATGGAAAGAGAAGAACATCAGAGAATTATATAGGTTCTACTCATATCCCCAAGAATTATTCTTGAGAATATCCACAAAACTCGAGAGCTTTTAGAAGGATTTTCCCACAAACCTCCTTATATAAGGAAATAAAGTTTCCATGCTAACTTCTAACCAAACAAAGAATAAGGCTTAGAACATTTAGTCTCCAAATCAAAAGAGGTTTTCCACGGGTCAATCTCGAACCATGACGGAGTTTTAAGTTGACTATCCTCCAAACCAAACTGAGATTTTACACAAGCTGACCATGAACCAAGACGATATTTTCACCGGGCTGATCTCGAACCTACTAAAACTTTATATCAAGCTAAACACAAAAACCAAGAGAGATTTTAACCAGGCTGATATCGAATCAATAGAGCTTTTAACCAGATTGAGCTCAAGAAACATTATGGAGATTTTATTGGATGATCTTCACGAACTAAAAGAGAGTTTTTTTAAGGCATAACTCATGAACCAAACAGAGACTGCCTAAGACAATTCCCCAATACAAACAAGAGCTTTTATTGGTTTAGCTTGCAACCAAAATAAGAACTTCCTACAAAAGAATTATTTACTCAAAGATAATATACTTTTGGTCAACTTGCATTTTTACCCTCATTTAGAACATTTATCTTCACTTAGACTCAAAACTACTCATGAAGCGCTATGGCTAAATAAATGTAAGAAAAATTATAGATTTAGAGTGATAATGAGAGAATTGAAAAGTGAGATTTAAAAATATTTTCTAGATATGAAAAAGTGATATAGAAGCCTTATATTTATAGGCAAAGGCGTGGTATAAATTTGAAAACAATTCATGGGTCCACTTAATGCCATCATCAATTAGACTAATCGATTAGCCACTGTAAATAATCGATTGTTAAGGTCACAAACGAAAGATTTTCATATTTAGCCGTTACAAATCTTTAAGAAATTATCTCTATCGATTTTTAAATCCATCAAGCATGATCTAATTGATTAGGCCATTTATCTTATCAATTCTTCGGTTAAAAAAAGTTTTCAAACCAATCAGACATTCCCCTAATTAATTTGCTAAGCTGCAAAAACATTTTTAGGTGGTTTAAGTAAAATATGAGAAGTTTCTAGAATATTTTCAGCGTGTGTGATTTAGTCATAATATGTATAGAAACACCTTTGTGTATTTACAAGACACTGACCACTTAGATGAACATGACCAGACAAGCTTTAACACTTCCTCTCTTTCATAACTCTAAAGCTTAAAATTTTTGCATCATTATCTTTGACTTTAGCATCATACAAGATCCTTAAATCTTCATAATGGGGATTCAAATACCTTTATTTTGAATATCATCTTCTAAGAGTTGAGATGTTAAACCACAGTTGATCCTGGAAACATAAGTCTTCACGTGAACTTCGTTTGATACAATGTTGACTTCAAATGGATGTCTTGATATTCAAGGTCATAACTTGATTCAAGAGGATATCTTATTCAATCCTCTTGATCATCTTCGCCCTATTGAGCTATCTTCCACATAAATTGACTTTACTAGATATCGCTTGATATTAAATGTTGTCATAATCAAAACTAAACAGCTACTTAGTTGACTTATAACTTTGATTATCCATAAACTTAACTATCTTGGATCATCTTAATAATACCTACAAGCACATAAGTCCACATTTTCCCCATGTTTGATGATGACAATGCATCGCTTATGGAGGTGGTAAAAGAGAAAACAAATAGATAAATTTTGGAATAGTAAACTCTCTCTGACATGAGTAGATAGTATATTCAGCTTCCCCTGAGAGTATATGTCTCCCATTTGGCATAATAAAAAAGGATGGAAAAAGATCCTAGACAATACTTATAAATATGAAAACACATAGATCAAATAAGTTTTATCGGAGAAAGGAAAACATTGCTTTATTATCAACTCAAATGCTAGAATAAAATACTAAAAGGGGAAATGCTATGAGTATAAAGACTTTAGAAAACAAAAAGATGTGGAAATTTACACACACTTAATTCCTAACACGTAAGTGAGACTACTCTTTAGTATCCTTATCATCATCGGTGAACAACTCTGAAGGTAAATGCCCTAAGTCTTGTACGAAGTGATATGCCAAAAAATTGATCTTTTTATCAGTTCGCTACAGTCTCTTGATAATGTCCTTGAGTAGGTCTTGAAATGAGGGTGTTCCAGGGATATCATAGTCAAAATCTTTTAGACTCATGGGAGATTCTTATAGAGAAGATCCTTGTTGTTCCATATCCATTTTCTTTCTTTTGGGGGGATTTTGAAATATCTCCCTGTCAAAATTTTCGTACATCATCATGCTCAGTGCTACTTCTCCTATTTTTGATTTTGCACGAATATTTCTCCTTTAAAGTTGTACCCGACGTGTTCTAGAATCTTAGTCACCAAGTTACCATATGAAAAGCATATTCCTTTCCTTTTTCTTCCAAACATATGTTAGATCACTGCATTTACCCAATTTGTCTCAATTTTGTTTGTGAGTAGCCACATTGCGGCAACATCAAACCCCGTCAAGTGACTGAAGTTACTCTTCCTTGGAAAGAGTATGTCAATTTTCCACATAATGAATAAAACGAATGTTCGAGCGCATATAGCCTACAGTGAACAAACAAGACACACAATAATTTGGATTCAACGGAAAATATGAAGTGTCACTCTTATACATGTAGTTGTCACCTTTTTCTAGTTCATTTGGCTTGAAGCAAAGTCTATCGGGTGGTAAATCCAGAATATTATCAAAATTTTTCAAAGGCATAAATAACTTGTGCTTTCTCAATACAGAGTAGATAATTCCATCGGTGAAGTACAAATTTGACCAAAATATCTTGACTAATGATGAATAAACTTCTCTTCGAGAGGTGCATATAAATGTCTTTAATTTTGATTCTTAAAATATTGTGAAGAATTCACATTCTTGAATGATTTTAGCATTCAAGTATGAATGCCTAAGGCCGTCCTATTTGTTTATTGTTAAAAGAAACTCCCTTCTTGTTCTTGAGACGAGAAGTCATTATAGATATAAGTAGGAGAAGGGAATCTTAATCTCGGTGAAAAATTAAATTTTAGACAGACAATTAATAATTTACACATAACTTTGAATGATCTTTGAATATTTTGACAGCTTTGATCTTCTCTTTCAATGAATCAATTCAAGAAATATACAAACAATACGTGCTCAAGAGATTATAAAAAATTTCTTAATGAATGAAATTTATGCACACAAAAGTTATGTCAGAATGTTATGAACATATTGAATAACAGTAGATAAATTGATTGAAAAATATGATTTGAAAGAGGTTCAGATTCTTAGTGTATTCTCATATGTACAACGATTTTTATACATCCTAGAACACATCTTGAAAAAGATGCAATCATTCACAATCAATCATGAAACTTTGCTCTGAAAAAATGCACTGATAAAGTTGCAATAATTCACAGTCAATCATGAAATCAGTAGTGAAAAAAATGCATTAATTTGAATCTGTGTTCGGCCACATGATGTGTGTAGTCAAAAACAACCTCAATAATTTACAAAAATGAAAGTTTAAAAAACTTTGAAACTTGTTTGAAAGTATATACACATGCTAGAGGTTTTAGATGAAGAGTTTTTTGAGCACATAATGCTTATAAACACATGAATTACCATTGTTCTTTAATGTTCATCTTTAATCCATTGATTGTCCAAGCTTAATCAATCTTGAAAACTTGATTTTAATCTTTTTCTCTTTTGATCTTTCTTCTAAGGTAACCTTTTTGTCTTCATAAAAACAAATGATAAGATGATGATGAACATCTTCTTCACAATCTCCCTCTTTTTTATGATAAATACATGAATGAGAAGTCTTTTGGTTGATACTTGATTCCTTCCTCTATCTTGGATATCTCTTCTTATCTTGCATATCTCCTACTTTCTCTTGAAATCTGTGATAATATGTGTTTTTGGATCCTGAAAATACAATAAAAAAATAACCATCTATTCTCCCCCTTTTTGACAATATCTAAAAGAAAACAAATAAAAGTCAAATGAGTATAATAGTATAAGGAAAATGATACATTAGATAAAAAGATACTTAACTTATTCATAATACTATCATATGAATTCAAAGTTGATAATCATGATGATGCTTATTCAAAATATTTTTCATTCAATGAAATTGTATCATAACATATGATCTTGTATCTTGAAAAATTAATCTTGATTTAACAATACTTAACATATTATCTTCAATTACCTACAAAATAATTAATATTACTTAGATGCCCAATTTACTTTGGATTATTTTGGGTTAGATCTCTTTCTCAGGCATACATGCTCAACATAAGAAATATCATACTTTATTAGAAAATATTAGAAGTATGGTCATTTGCATTACAATAGAAACAAGTAATTCTAAAAACACAACTCATTTTATTAACATAAAAGTTATTTCTTTCATAACTTCTTTTTTTAAGATTTACAACTTGTACTTTCTTTGACTCTTTATTGTTGAATTTGCTAGTAGCCTTTACAAAAATAAGTTGATTTGTACTATGTTTATCATAATTAGAAAAGTCAAGTCCATATTTATTACTTGAATATCTTTGACTACTCAACACATTATCCAGGTTAATTTATCATTTTTCATATTTAAAAATGACTTGGTTTAATTCGACAATTTTTATTCAAGAGATGAATAATTATTGCATGCTGAATTTTTTATTAAGTCTAACCCCCCCTGGATTATTAGCCTCCCTTTCTAGATTTAAAATAATTTTCTTTTGTTTTGAACATTTTCTAGAAAGTTTCAAAAATTCATCATGTAATTTATGAAAAGAACTTTGTAATTCTTCATATAAAGGACTATCACAAATTCTAGAATCACTAACATCATGTTCTTCATGACTTGAATGATGCGCCATCAATGCGTTGTTTGCATAGTCTTCATCTGAAGATGAACTTATTTCATTGTTATCATATGCTTTTTATGGTCTTTCGTCCTTCTTGCTCTTGAACTTATTCTTCTTTTCAAGTGTAAGACATTCACTACTCACATGTCTTCTTTTTCCACATTTAAAACATGTAACCTTTATTGGTACTTCTTTCTGAATGATCCCTTTTTTTTTCTTCCTTTCTTAAGAACTTCTCAAACTTTTTGATAAGATCATCATCTTTATCATTAGTGGACTCATCCTCTTGATTGCAATCGTGATTTTTTATTCTAACATTTAAGACAATATCTTTCGAATTCTTTACTTAATCTTCATGCTTCTCCAATCTTTCAAGTTCTATCTCATATCCTTGGAGTTTTTCGAGAAATGTTGCAGAAGTCATTTTTGATTGAGTCTTCTTTTTTAATATCGCCGTCACTTTTGGTTTTCATTCTCTGATCAAAGATATGAGAATTTTAAGATTGAAATCATTATTAAAAAAAGTCTTATCAAGTGCCATCAAGTGGTTAGTTAAGTGTACAAATATTTTCTACAAATTAAGAATTGATTCTCGGTGCTACCACTCTATCAAAAACGGCCCAACACTAATTCATGTGTTGTCCAATCACTAAAATGGTGTGGTTCTCTTCATCTATTGGTATTCGGGTGCCTGAAAACGTGGATATTAGTGACTACCTGAGAATCACTGTATTCATGACTGATCTGATAGGCCTGAAAACATGTGTATAGCTCTGTGGAGGATATGGAATGGAAGGAATCAGTGTCTTTTCAAGAAAGTGCCGTTCGAATTGCAGGTGGTGGCGCTGAGTGTTGGTGAGTTTATGTCTGAATTCAATGGTGCAAACTCGGGTCTGCGAGCGATGAATACGCGTATAAATTAATCAAAAGCCACAAGATAACTAACTCTTCTGGATTGAAAGGAGACATTTTGTCAAGGTTTCTAGAACTGAATGAAACAGATTCAAAGTACCTTAAAGAGATTATTGAGTTTTATCATCGCAGGAAAGATACAACAGCAATCACTCTTTCTTGTTTTTGCTATCAAACTTTTCATAACAAAAGCATTTTCCTCTTCGAAAAATGGGCGTACATGAAACATTTTCTTATATGGCTTGTCTTCTTCGTGTCGCATTAAACTTTGAATACCAAAAAGGATCAAAATACAAACCAATAGAAGAAATAAGAGGAACTCCTCTAGCCTCTATGAATCTAATCCTCACAACTTGAGCATGCACGACATCTCCATCAAGCCTATGAAGCCTCTTGTAACCAACTGTTGTCCCTTGAATTCTTAACTTACCATTCACATAAATTTCATAGCTTTTGATTCTTTGACCAAATCCAATTGCTTCTTGTATTCTAATCACATTAAATCTTAAATCTCCATCATTGCTCCAAATTTCAACCCAATGGTCCTCCTTTTCCTTATCATCTTCCCGTGGCGCCCAGTATGACCCCAAATGATCACTGTCCAACATGTTTTCTGGTCCAAACCCTCCTTCTTTTCCTCCTCTTTGGCTACTAACTTTAACATAACAACCTTCAGCTATGTTGTTATGAAAAATTGTATTGATTGCAGTTCTAAATTCTTTTAATCTATGAGCATCATTTTCAGATATAAGGCCAGTTGTGTTAGGCGGTACATTAAGAATTAACACGCAATTTCTCCCAACTGATGTGTAATAAATATCAAGTAGCTCACTTAGTGTTTTTGGCGATTCTGATTTATGCCAAAACCATCCTCGACGAATTGAAACATCGCATTCTGCTGGTAGCCAATCTGTCCCTCTTGGATCACCAGTATTCAGATACCTGCATTTTTAACTCTAACGTTGAAACTTCGCATGCTTTTACTCAAAAAAAGAAACAGAGAAAACAGCACTTACTGCTTTATGTCTGGACTTCCAATTGTAAGAGAACTTCGATTAATGGTCGACCAACACGTGTCCCCTGCTATCCCTTTTTCATTTCCTACCCATCTAACATCAGATCCAGCATCTGAGAAAATATTGATAGACATTTGCAATTCCTTCACCATAGAAAACCAATCTGAAAAGTAATACGACACATTTTGTGCCTTTGGCTCTTTGAATCCATCAAACCAAATTTCCCTTAGATTTGGATAGCTAAAAAAAATACAACATAATGTTAATATCCAAAATGTCGCTACAAAATGGATTCACGCATGATATGCTGTAAAAACTACACGCAGAACTAAAATCGGCTCATTTCAAACCGTTTGGTTAAGATCAAACGATCTTGGTTAAAAACATGTGCAGTTAAAAAATGAGCTGCATGAAGATCAAAACATGCTGTTAATCTATCAAATCGATACAAAAGAGAGATTTGAAACTCACTTTTTAAGAAGTTCTTGCAGTTGAGCTAAATAATATTCATTGTAAAGCGAGTCATGACCATATCTAGAATCATGTCTATCCCAAGGTGAAAGATAGAACCCAACATCAATTCCTTTATGAGTAGCTGCATTCACAAACTCTTGAACAACATCACCTTTACCATTTTTCCAAGTGCTACTAATGACAGAATGTTTGGTGTACTTAGAAGGCCATAGACAAAATCCATCATGATGTTTTGCAGTTAATATCATCAACGACATTCCTGCTTCTTCTGCCACACTGGCCCATTGTGTTGTGTTGAGCCGAATTGGATTGAATATTGATGGATTTTCGTGGCCTGTACCATGTTCTCTGCCACTGAATGTGTTGACACCAAAATGAAGGAACATTATGATTTCTCTTTGTTGCCATTTTAGCTGCGAGTATGTTGGGAGTGGGAGAATTGGTAATGGTGGAGTTGGTACTTGTTCTAGTAAAGAACTGCATAGATTGTATAGTTGAAGTAATAGTGAGATAAATAAGAAAAAAGAACAACATAGTTTAGCCATGATGCTTTTGAATCAAGATACAAAAGAAAAGTGTGAAGATATAATTATCTTGTGTGTTGTGTTTCGGTTGATATTTGTCTTATTGTCATCATTGTAATGCATGGCTAACAATTGCACACATGTTTAGGTTTTTGTTCACATCCACTTTCTACGAGGATAAGATTATTGTCATCATTGTAATGCATGGCTAACAATTGCGCACATGTTTAGGTGAACAGATTGAGTGACTTTGACACGAGAAAGGCAGCGTGTCATTGGGCTAATTTATCTGTTCGATCAATCAGGAACACCAGGTTCTACCGCGTGAGCTGTTTTTATTTATTTTTTATTTTAGTTGATATGAAATTTTATCTGAACGATGTTCCTATAGTTGTTGGATCAATTTTAACCCCGAACGCAGCATGCTCACTTGAGAGTTTACGTATCATAGCAATGCGATACTATCTGGTTTGTTTTGCAATGACTTCTTCAGGAACATTGAACTTAAGAAGTACCTGGAATAAGAACATGTCTGAAATTAAAAAATTGCATCCATCCATACGGATTAAATCTATTATGCTATTCCTCCCATGTGTTCAACTAATTGAGTGTAATTGACAGCCATGCTAGTCCAAACAAAAGTTGCAATGAAACACAAATATAATGTTTATATTCAGTTAGTTGATATGATATATTTGTCAATGAAATGCCCTCGCCAATTTAACCTCTTGCAATATGTTTGTTTCATTCAACTTTTTGTGATATGATTACAAAACTGCATAACTGAAGTATTGCTTTATGATTACATATTCCATTGTATTTAATGAAATTTATCTCAATATAGGGGAAAAGAAGAAAACTATACATGAACGAGTAATCTAAAGGTAAGCCCGTATCAACCTTGAGCAACGATCCAAAAGGGAAGGACAGCAGCTCACAGCCTAGTAAGATACTACATCGTAAATCATGCCTATCCTTTTTTACCTATATCGACGTCAAGATCACATGAAAATGAAAATTATATATGAATAATCAAGTGTTAGATGGAATGATATAAGTAAATGCGTGTAGATGTAGACTCAGTCATCTGAAAGGTTCCACTGGTTCTGATTCTTCAAGAGAGTTTGCAGCCTGAAAACATTCTGCAGCTTCTAATATTCTACCTTCGGCCTTGTGAAGAATACCAACATTATACCAAGCTGAAGCATTAGTTCTGTCAAGCCTTAGTGCACCCATCAGAAAGCTTCTAACAGCAGGATTCGATGGAGTACCAAACCGTCTAAGAACCACAGCGGTTGAGATCAAGCTAGGCACATGTGCGGGATCAAGGTTCAATGCGTCAACAAAAGCTTTTAGAGCCTCTTTGTAAAGACCCTTTGCTTCAAGCATAGTACCTATGAAATTGAGCAAGCAGAACAAAACCCATTATATAATAAATTGGTGAAAGTTAACTGCTCCTCGCCAACTTCTAGCTCCTCCACCTTTTATCAAATTACAGAAGAAACTAAATAATGATTTTGAGCACATTATTCGTTGCTATAATACTAAAAAATGCGAGGGGCAACAGATAAATAAAAAGACAACCATATCATATACTTACCTATTACATGGCATCTAGAAGCAGAGTCTAGTTTGATGGCCTTAGATTTCGAAAGACACACCTCTGCATCATGCCACCGTGACAGACTTATGTAAACATAAGCAAGATCATGCCATATTTCAACTTCCAAGTTCCTAGCATGATCTCTGTTATCCTGTTTCAAAGGTTATTCAAAATAAAGGGGTAAGGACTTAGGAGGTAGCAAATTCTACTTTTGAAGTTCCTGACACAAGCAAAACAATAAAAAACATCGGATTAATAAGGTGTGCAGATTAAATAGTACTGTATTATATTTAGAACAGGACATATATCTTGAAAATTTCACATACAAGCAGCTGGCTTGAATAAAACCCTTAAGACAAATTCTATACATTCCCGAAAAATAGAGACCTACTAATTGATTGCATCTAGAACCTAAAGTATGCACATTCATGATATCTCTATGGAATACATTCATTGGCCAAACATTTCAAGATGAATCTCAAAAAATAATAGCAACCTATTGATTAATTGCATCTAGAATCTAAAGTATGCACCTAAAAGTGTCAGCCATCCAACTATACAATCCGCTCTTACACCAAATAGTTTAATAGATCTGCAGAAACATGTACATGATGAAATCAAAACCATCAATATACACCAATTTATTATAAACAAGTTCCTAGACCAAATATATATGGGCCCAACTAATACTTAGAAAGTAACAGATACCAGCTCTTATAGAATCTTGAATTAGCATAGGGTACTATGGTTCAAAATGGGGGAGAAAGAACCTGTAAATTTGGACTTAAAACCAGCCTGCTACGAATATTGCCATAATATATTGCTGACTTTTGCGGGGCTTAAATTCGTCAATACCATAAGGGCCTATACCCGCCATTATTTCAGCCAAATAATCTCTTGTTAAAAGAGTTAGTATCTAGTATACAGGAAGAATAAATTAATCTTTGATTTTAAATATAAGAAAATGGAAAAGTGAGAGATAAAAAGAGTGCAGAATCAGAATCTTGACTTCCTATTCAGAACCTAAAGCACAATTAGAAAAAAAAACTCAATGAATCTAATGACCAACATGCACACTCCAAACAGTGTAGATATACACAACTTTTAACAAACTCTTCGCACATAAAAAAGACTGATTATCACATCAATATGTGAACAAAGTGTCACACGCTTTTAAATGAGTACCATATTTTAACAATTTCATTGTTCTCCTTCATAAATCCGAAGGAACTGTTTTGAACCCTGCTTGGTTTTTTTTGGTAAGATATTAATCCAATTCAATTTGGATAAATGATGTCCAATTGTCATGCCTCACTACTCTCATTATGACTATTACTAACAACATGATCTGGTATTGGAATGCAGAACAGAAATTTTTGCAGCAAATAAATCTTACAAGTTTAGAGCAGACCACATTCAATAATTTCTGGCAATAACAAGAAGACAAAAGGCATATCATATGACTCGGAATTATAAATCACCAAGCACAACAATAAATGAACCTTGTATAGCTTGTTTCTTGAACCAAAAGTTTTTCTCTGAACCAGAAGAATAGCAAGAAGCTGAATATATGTTTCAATGGCACTTGGCAACTTCCCCTGTGCAATTTGCAGTTTAGCTTTGGTACGCAACAAAAATCCTTGATCCCATTTTCCAGTCCGATCCAAAGCCGCATCAACAATAGATTCAGCATTCAAAAACTGTTTTTGTGCTGATAATATTCGGGCTAACAACAACCAGCCTTTAATATTAGACCCAGCTTCTAAGTTTAGAAAGCGCTCTGCATAATAAAGTGCAGAATCCAACTTCCTTTGCTCTGCACATTCTAAACTTAAATAATAAAGTACAAGAGGGTCATTCATTCTGGTCATAGTGCTTGCGATTTCTAATGAATGGAGTGCCTCAGATTGTCTCTCAAACATCTCAGAATTAGAAACAGCCAATTTTGAGTATGTTGAAAGTGAAACACCGAGTAAGCAATTGGCGAGACTTCCCAACTGATTACATCTTTCACCCAAATTCTCACGCACTCTGCTAGCATAGCTAACCCCATCTTTTGCAAGGTCAGGGTTCTCACAGCATATCTTAGAAGCCATTAATAAAGCATGAACATGTTTTGGATCCTCTCCGTTACACAACAACTTTTTAAGAAGATTAAAGGCCACCAAGTCCTTATCTGCCCCATAATAACAAAGAGCAAGGGCATGATACCTTTCTCTTCGATTGATAGTACCAGGTAGCAATTCTTCCCATTGATTGGCTAAAGTTGTCAAATTCCCGGAAACCGATAAAGCAAATGAAAGGTGCTCCAAAATTGAAGGATCCCACTCAATTTTATTTACATATATTTTTCTTAGCAAAATCATTAAAAGAAGTATAGCCTCTTCAGTGTTATTTCTTGGTACAAATGAACTGTCGATATGGGTACGAAGATCTGGGAGAATTTCTTCCCCACCACTATATAGAAGAAAAATGGCAAATTCCTTCTGAATTTTTGCCGTGGTCTCTGAATCAAGATTCCATCGATGAAGGAGTGCACGCCGGTAAGACAAAATAACTTCACGTGGACAATCAGCAAGTTTCCATAATTCTGGAAGTAGCTCAACTGCCTTACTTAAAGTCTCCTGCAATTTACATTCGGCGCCAAAGTTTCTAGGCATGCCTTCAGGTAAAGAAGATTCAATCATGTCCAGAATAATTTTGCATGTCTGGGCCGATTCTGCAAGAATTATTGTAAATTTTATATTAGTTAACATTTTGGGTTCTCATAGCTGAAAACTTCCTTTAAATTTATTAAGTCCTTAGAATTCTAAGGACATGCCCATCTTGATTAGAATTATATAGATTTGTTAAATCAAAAGCCTGTAAGAGAAACTAATAACTGAAAGTTAGGGAAGAAGACAAATAAAGAACATCTTAATATGCAGATTAAAATGAAAATATTTATTAAAAGCCACAAAGAGCAAATCTATGAATCGCACAATCAATAAGGGTACCTTCAAACCTTCCAAGGACCTGCAAACATTTTGCTTTTAGCAAGATTGCTTCTATTAGTAATCCAGCTGTGTGTATAGATATTGATGGAGTAGTGTGATCCCGAGAGCGTCTCTTGGGGCGCTCTCTACTTTTGGCAAGGAAATTGTTTATCTTGGGAGTCACAGCAGCTATGTTTATGCCTTCAAAAACATGCAAAGCAGCTTCTATGTTTCCTTCCCGATATTCATATCTCCCTAACAAAGCTCTAGCTTCCTGTAGATTACAGGCATAAAGTGGATTGAAATCACACAAACATACGGACAGAGGTAAAAATTCTATTAAACAGCTCATGGTTAGATGTTGGATACTCTCAACCTTCCACAAATAAATGTAGGGATCGAAAAATCTATTACAACAGGTTAAGTATAACTATTAATAACATACCAAAAAAACTTAAGAAATTAGAAAATGATTATGTAGTCTCTATGGTATACGTAAGCATTTGGAACAACTTCTTTAGAGCCTTGTCGAATGAAAACAATTATCACGAACCAAATAGCTTTCCAACATACACATATCCATACGCAGATAACTTATATGAATTGAAGCACTTAAACTGTTTATCAAAACACGAAAGATGAAATCATATATTATTTATGCAGTATATCGTCAAAGAGAAAACAAACTCAACCTCAAAATTCAAGATACCACTCTCACGCAAAGACGACTCAGCTTGTTCTATGTTACCAGAATCCGGCCTCCTCTCAACTTGTCCATCTTGCCCAGAAATCCCACTCCCCGTCGCAGAATGATAATCCTTGGTAGCAAGAGATTGCAACGAACTAGGAACCATTGCATCTTCTTCTTTTACAACCTCCCCTGAACAAAGACACTTCATTATCTTCAACAATCTCTTCCTCGGATTCCTAACCCTACTCCCCATGCTTCCTTCCTCCCCTCAAAAATCTCTCCGCCACAGCACTGTCACATACATCACAGTTAAACCACAATCAATTAATCTAGAATATCAATAAAACAGGAAAGTTGAATTGATTTCAATAGCAATTTAACCTATATTCTTATAAAGATAGAATTTAATAACCGCAACCGAGAAGTGGAAAATTAAAATAAAATCAATAATTATAATCGAAAATTCTCCTACGTATAATGAATTCAGCAAAAAAACGGTTATAAGTTTGAAATTGAGGTTGGTTTCTAGAAGAAGAAACTTACATAGATGAAGAATTGAAATAAAAGGAAAAAGAGAATAGTAATAGTAACAACCTTTTGATTTTTGAGAAAGAAAAGCATAGAGAGGAAGAGAATGGAATAATAACAACGGTGGATTCCATTGTTGAATTTCTGGAATCAATCAAAGCATTTGAAAGCTTTTCCTTTTCTGGAGTTTTCTTTATTTTTTTATTTGTATTTGTATTTGTATTTCTGCTTCGAGTAAAATATAATAATAATTTTATGTAATTATGTAAATAGTAGCTTTAAAGCTTTATTATGTTGTGGAGAAACTGAGTTGGGTGGAAAAGGGAAAGCGTATGCGAGAAGATGAGACTTGTGTTTTGTTTTTCCAGAAAAAAAGAGAAAGTGAGATCGAGGGAACGGAATTGCATGATGGGAAAGTTCGTTGAGTTTTGCGGTGGGTCCTACTCTAGAGGTGCGAGGGTAAATGCTTGCCACGTGGTATGCGTTTATGAATGTCTGAGCTGTTTATCTAACGGGTATTAATTAACTATATTATTATTCATATACTCCATCCACTCTTTAACACCTACCCCAACCGTTATCTATAATTTTACACTAGAGGTTATGTTTGGTCGGGTTAGGGCAACATATTACTGTGCACCTACTATTGAATTCTAGAGTGGAAGATCATAAAAGTTACCTATGTTATGTTTACTCAATTTGGAGTACTTACCATAGGAGTTGACACCTATTTTTGTTGGAATAATATAATAAGTGTGAGTAGTATGTATAATAGTTTCACATTAAATATAAATGTGGTGACTTGAGTATTTATAAGTGGGAGAACTCATACATTTATCACCTTAAAGTTTTAGGTAAATATGTTGTGTCTTTCTCATTTGTGTTGTTCTTGACCCAATGCTCAATGTTTCCTAGTGTAAAACTCCTCTAATATGGTATCATAAGCATTTGGTTCGTAAAGGGACTGACTTACATGTATCAAAATGCCTAGGAAGTGGTGTCTCGTTGAAATCGAAATGACCAAGGAAGCGAGTTTCCACATGAGGGGGACCACTGTGGACTCACACTTGAGGGGTAGTGTTGAAATAATATAACAAGTGTGAATAGTATGGATAATAGTCTCACATTGGATAGTAATGTGGTGACTTTAACTTTTATAAGTGGGATGTGAGATATTGGATCGAACTTTAGTTAGCATCCGTTGAAGTTTGCTCACATGATGTTGTCGAAGACCTACATGGTGTAGTCGAATTGTGTTCCAGTATGTAGTTGTCAAATTAGGCCTTGTGTTAAGGATCCAATTGTTTAAGTTAACTTGTAATGGGTAATTGTTAAACAGCTCATTAGTTTAGTATGTTAGGTTTTATTATAAATAGCATATTAGTCTCTCATCTTAAATGTGGTGTGACAAAACCTAATTAGGGTGATAGGATTATTTGTTATTCTTGAGTACTTGTAATCTATTTTATAGAGAAAGTAAATAATAGCAGTTATAACCAATTCTTGTTGTTCTCCTTGCTTTTCACTTAACCCTAACCCTTGTGTGTTTCTTTCCTATAAAGAAATCGAGTATATTTTGTTTTAACGCATCCTAATTCACAACAAATTGGTACGGTGAACGTGGAGAAGATGCCTTCAACAAAGTATGAGATTGAAAAGTTCACTGGAGTGAACGACTTTGGTTTGTGGCGCTTGAAGATGAAAGTTCTACTGGTTCAGCAAGGTTGTTTGGAAGCGTTGAAGGGAGAGGCAACCATGGAAGTTGCGTTAACGGAAAAAGAAAATACGACCATGATAGAGAAAGCCCACAGCGCAATATTGTTGATCCGTGGTGATAAGATTCTTCGACAAGTATCAAATGAGACTATGACATTGGGGTGTTATGGTTGAAACTTGAAAGTTTTTACATGACCAAATCTCTGGTGAATCGACTCTACATGAAACAAACTTTGTATTCATTCAATATGAGTGAAGATAAAGTGTTGGCTAGGCAGTCGAATATGTTCAACAAGCTGATTTTTTACCTTGAAAATATTAATGTGAAGATCAATGATGAAGATCAAGCACTGTTGTTGCTGTGTGCTTTGCCCATAACACATGCTCACTTCAAAGAAACTCTCTTGTATGGAAAGGAGTCCCTGAGTTTTGAAGAAGTTTAATCAGACTTGTATTCTAAGGACTTGAACGAACGAAAGGAGCATAAAACTTTGACGTTTGGTAAAGGTTTGACCGTTAAGGGAAAATTCTTATGAAAGGATGGTAAGTTCGACAAGAAGAAAGATAAAAGTCAACAGAAGTCTTATAGTGGCGAGGCATCTGGTATTTGATGATATCACTATAAGAAGGAGAGTCACATAAGAAAAGTGTGCCTTGAACGCCTAAAAGATCATGGAGGTAAAGATAATGGCAACGCAACAATTATTCAAGAAGACTCTGAATCATTTGATGTTCTTGTGGTTTCAAGAGGCGACTCGAGAAAGAAGTGGATTATGGATTCAGATCGCACTTGGCGCATGATCCAAAGAGAGAATTGTTCGAGGAGCTATGTGATCAAGATGGTGGATCAGTGCTGCTGGGAAACAACAAATCTTGCAAAATTGCAAGTATTGGATCTGTGAGATTCAAGCTGCATGATGAGTTGATAAGGTTATTGACTGAAGTTACATATGTACCTGATTTGAAGAGAAATTTAATTTCTCTTGGTGAATTCGACAGGAAGGGATATGTTTTTCAAGGAGAGAAAGTATCCTAAGAGTCATGAAGGGGTCGAAGGAAGTCTTAAGAGGCGTGAAAAAACAAGGCTTGTATATCCTTGAGGCTGAAGTTGTAAGTAGTTTGACAAATGTTGCATCCACGAAACCGTTGTCAAAAACAGAAACTTGGAACATGAGATTGGGCCATGTTAATGAAAGGGGTCTGGTCGAATTAGGGAAACAAAATTTGCTTGGAGGAGACAAAGTCGAAAAGCTAAAATTTTGTGAACCCTGTGTACTTGGAAAATCATGCAGAGTGAAGTTCAACAAAGGAAAACAAAGAACTCATGGATCCCTTGATTACATCCATGCTGATCTTTGGGGGCTTGTAAGGTGTCCATCATATTCAGGAGCAAAGTGTCTTTTATCCATAGTTGATGATTATTCCAGGAAGTTATGGGTATTCATCCAGAAGACTAAGGATGAAACTTTTGAGAATTTCAAAGGTTCGAAGACTCTGGTTAAAAATCAGACTGACAGAAAAGCCAAGAAGTTGATAACCGAAAATGGCCTTAAATTTTGCAATGATGCTTTCGACATTTTTTTTGCTGCCTTAGGTATTGCAAGGCACAAAACTACTACAGGTACTCCACAACAAAATGGTTTGGAAAAAAGGTTTAATCGAACTATTTTGGAAAGAGTTAGATGCATATTGACTAGTGCTAGATTAAAGAAGGTGTTTTGGGTTGAGGCTGTTTCGGCAGCAACATATCTGATAAACAGATGTCCTTCGATTGTGTTAGATATGAAGACACCTTGAGAAGTTTGGGCGGGATATCCATATAGTCTCGACAGACTGAGAGTATTTGGCTATGTGGCCTATGCTCACATTAGGCAAGACAAGGTTGAATCTAGAGCTCTGAAATGCATGTTTATAGGATACCCTGAAGGAGTCAAAGCTTATAGGTTATGGTGCCTAGAGCCAGGTCACATGAGGTGTATCATCAATCGAGATGTAGTTTTCAATGAAGTTGAGATGGCTTTTAAGAAAACTGATAATACTGACGAAGAGCTAGAACAAGGAGAGATTCCTGTTGAGGTGGAGCATGTTAGTGCTGAATTGCGTACCCCAGATAAAGTCGAAGAAGAATTAGGAGTTGTTGTCAAAGATGAGGAGACTGATGATGACTACCTGCTAGCAAGAGAAAGGTTGAGGAGAGTCATCAAGCCACCTCAAAGACTTGGGTATGCATATCTTATAGCTTATACCTTAATATCTGCATATGAGGTTCTCGACGAAGAACCTAGAGACTATAAGAAAGTTATGAGGAGTCAAAAGAAGACTAAATCGATGAAGGCCATAGATGATGAGATGAAATCTCTTCATGATAACAACACTTAGGAACTGATCAAGAAACCTGCTGGAGCTAGATTAGTCAGCTGTAAATGGATTTTAAAAGTTAAGGAAAGAATCGAAGGAGTGGCGTCAAAAAGATACAAGGCAAGATTGGTCGCTAGAGGTTTCACTCAAAATGAAGGTGTGGACTTCAATGATGTGTTCTCTCCTGTTGTGAAGCAAAGATCCATTTGAATGTTGCTTGCCATGGTGGCACAGTTCGAATTTGAATTGGAACAGATTAATGTGAAGACTACGTTCTTGTATGGTGATCTAGATGAAACAATCCTAATTATGCAACCTGAAGGTTATGTCGAAAAAGGGAAGGAATATTATGTGTGTAAGCTGAAGTCATCCTTATATGGACTGAAATAATCTCCTCAAAAGTGGAATAAGAAATTTGACAAGTTCATGGCACACATAAGTTTCATTAGAAGTCAGTTCGACCACTGTGTTTACTTCAGATTTTGACCTGGTGTTACGGTGAGAATCGGATATCAAGCTATTAATTAACTTGAATCACAAATCACGAAGTTCACCATCGAGCTTTGATTTATCCAAAGGAAAGGGTAAAGATCGAAAGAAAACCCTAAGTGCTCTATGTAATAACACAACTAAGAGAATCTAAGGTTCGGG